AAGTTTGGTCTCTTTTCTCTCTTGTCAAGATCCGTGTTATTGTGTGTTTAGTTTTGAGTTTTTCTATGTTTTCCTGTTTCCCTGTGAGTCTCTGTCCTGTCCTCCCCGTTGATTGATCCCCAGGTGTGTCTCGTTTCCTTAATTACCCTGTGTGTATTTAAACCCACCTGTTGTCTGTGTTCCTCGTCGGATCCTCGTCGTGTCTAAGTTTGTCGTTGTCTATCGTGTCTGTTGCTTTCCAGTAGAACTGTACAGTCCTGGTTTGCTAAGCTCAAGATTCACATTGTCAGTTGCTACCGGTTGTTAGCTGTGAGCTAATTGTTCCTGCCGTGCTGCCTGACTGGACCGTGTTGAGCCACTTCATTAAATCATCTTTTCACCATAACCTGGGTCTCAGCGTTCTCTCCTCACCACCTACCTCACCTCCTCATGACATCTCTTGTTTTTCAGTGTTTCTGTAAGCCAGTCCGCCGCTCTGTTGCCAAAAATCCCTCTTGTGACTCCACATCTGCGCGGAGTTACCTCCACGCAGATATCAGCGTGGGTCTCCGCCCCGCCGAGGTGAGACGCTCACAGGGGGAAAAACGCTGACTGCCGTTTCTGTCTGCGGCTCCGAGATGAGGCGTAAATCGCAGAGATGTCATCAGATGAAATCCATGGCAGAGCGTGTGAGAGTGGTGGGCGTACACGTTTTCAGTGGGAGTGGGACCACCATGTTTGAAGGCTGACTTCCTGTCACGGCTGCTGGCTGAGGCAGCTGACAGAAGGTCCTTGGCTCCCGTCCTTGAAAGCGGACCAAAGAGCCGGCTGCTACTCCTGCGCTGGCGGTGAGATCATCCAACGTTCAGGAGGCAAGCTGCACCAAACCAGCCTCATCTCGTCACATTTCTCTGTCCGGTTCTTCTGGAGGCGCTCATTTATGGAAAATTATTACTTTTCTAACCTCCATTCTGCATTGTTGCTGCAGAAACGGTTTGAAATCAAGACACAAACTCCACACTAAACTTTTACTTCTGGCTGATTATGGATAGAAACACATCAAAGTGGATAACATTTAGTATATAGATGCAAATTATTTTCTTGGTTTGTGAGTGAAGTTGCCTGTAGTGACTATTTGTCCAAAACTCAAATCCAAAAATCCAAAAAATTAAGATTTCAAAGTGATCAAAGCAAAAGGTGACTTCAACTCAAAGAGCCACATGATGCACCGTGGGATTCAAAAATACCAAAAGTCAAAAAAGCAGTTATTTGTTGCTTTATTCCACAGATCAGGCAGAACAAGTTACAGGCTGGTAGACTGACTGACTGACTGACTGACTGACTGACTGACTGGTAGACTGACTGGTAAACTGACTGACTGACTGGTAGACTGGCTGACTGATTGGTAGACTGACTGACTGACTGACTGGTAGACTGGTAGACTGGCTGGCTGGTAGACTGACTGACTGACTGACTGACTGGTAAAAACCATGTGACTACCTAAAACCTATTTATACTGTGAAACGCCCATGTCCCAAACTGAAATTAATTAACTAATTAACTGAATTACTAGTCAAAAACCTATTCTAAATATCTAAAATTAACCAAAAAATTCTAATTATAAATCAACTAAAATATTAGCAAATAAAAATTAGCTAAATAATCAAATAATTATTTAGCTAATAATTAAATTTGTGCAGCTTTCGTTCGTGTTGCATTTTCATTTTAAAGCTGTAAATTTTTCCATATATCATACATTTACAAAATCAAATAAAACATGGTGCCAATCAACCCTGCTATGCTTATGCAGCATATATATATATATATATATATATATATATATATATATATATTTTTTTTTTAAGAACAATTTTTCCCCCAGAGATCAATCTGCCTCCATCCCCACTAGATTAATAAAATCAAACTAAATTGATATAAATTAATTGTTCTATTTTGGTGCTAATGTTTTTGTACCACAGTCGTTTGACACCATTAGTTTTGGTGTCATTTGGTGCTGGTTGACCTTTGATGACCTCTAGAAACATTTATCAACATCCTTAAAATGATAAATTAGACCAAAAATACTTGGTGAGATGTTGTGTTTTTGCAGTGTCTTGCATCACTGGTAGTAAAACCACGTAAAAGTAATTTTTCAGCTACACATATTAGCTTGTTTTTATGTCAATAATTCTTGAATATTGATCTTAAAAATTACTGCCTGATTATTTCCCCTTTAACAGACATTGTTCCTGTGTTATATAATAATCTGCTTGTAAGATTTTGTTTTTACAGTGTCAGTTCCTGTAAAACACTGTCTGTTGTATTTCAGAAATTATCTTGTGTCTTTGGGATAGTTATGAAACCTTTTCACCAGTTTATTCTACTTCTTTTTCTTTTTTAAATCAGATAGGTTTATACCTTCTTTGTATTTTATGAAAACTTCAGCAAACATCTGACTGTAATGCTCCCTCTACTGTCCCCTGTAGGCTGCCGCCAGGACAGCATTTAATACTGGAACAGTTAGTATTGGAGAAATTACTAAAATTACTAAAATACTGTATGTAAGTAAAATTTACAAATAAACAGACAAAAAGTAAGTACTTAAAAGTAAAAGTACTTGTTTTGGTCTAGAACACGAGGCCAGTTTTTATCTGTTTGCTTCCAAATTATATCAATCAGTCCCTCCATTTCTTGAGAATTATTGTGGAAATTCATTCAAAATCAACAAATCCCTGCACTTTTCTTCACTAATAATTTGGAGTTTATTGCAGATTTTTCTCAAAAATTGTCAAAAACTTTCTTACTTGTCCTAAACAGCTGCCTCAGCCTTAACTGACATCACAAATAAGCTCAAATATTGCAAATATTTCCAAATTAGTACCACAAACACAAAAAAGTAACACAAAATCCTGGAGGGAGTGAAATATGTTCAATAATATCTAATTTTAAGAATTTATCAATATCTTAACAGTTTGTGAACAGGTTTTATCAATACATTCTGGCCCTTTAAGAGCTCAATTTGGCCCAAAACGAAAATGAGTTTGACACCCCTGGTCTAGAATATCATTAAGTGAGCCTGTATGTGTATATTTTATTTAATAAATAAAGATTGCTCTGCCATTTTAAGGAACAATTCTGCAGATAATGAACATTTTTATTGTGTTTAGCTTAATCACAGAGACTGAATAGCAGAGTTAAATCAAAATAATAAACAGGAATGATTATGCTTTTGAATGTTTTTATTTACCACAAAGCAAAATCAAAGTATTATTTTAACTGCAGTGAACACATTCAAGTGTAATTTATCTGCCTGAAAAAAGAGACATAAACAGATGAACAGGCACTGATCATGTCCCCTCAGTTTGCCACAGATAAAACATATTTTATATTCGACGTTGAAATGGGTCAGTTGTGAGCAAAGTTTAATTTTCTGACATCATTTTGAAAGCAGGGTCATTTTCTGAACCTTCATTCTGTAATCAGAACCGGACCGGGTGACGCACTGAGCATGCTCAGAAAGCCCAGCTGTGGCGCAGAACAGAGATCCTATTGTGTCCCACTGCTGCAGAGCCAGAGGTTAGGAGGAGTAAATACTGTGTCGCTGCAAATATAAACAACAATACGAGGAAAAGAGCCGGCTGGGCCACAGATCTTTACTACGAGTCAAGCAGTAAAAGGATGAAGAGACACTTAAAATGATCAGGTTCTCTGGTTTTACTCTCTATTGATGAGTGCAATGAACTTTGTTCTTTTATTCTTTAAACTACAGACATTGTGTCTCTGAAATTACAAGCAAAATTTTAGTATTAGACCAAAACTGACATAATTAAAATAATTTTACTTTTGATTATTGTCAGTTTTGGTCCTCCATACAAAAGTTTCTCTGTATGAAATCAAAAATAACTTTTTATTACTTTGGTTTTGGATTTCCCTTTTTGCTTTTCATTTCTATTTTGTGTAATATTGTTTAATTTAATCAGAAAACCTGGTTATGATTTGATCAAACCTCATCAGGATTAACATTTTTCTGTCTTAATCTACAGTAACATGAATTTTAAAGATTGTTTACCATTCAAATTATGTAAATTTGAGTTGGTTGATTAAAAAACAAAACATATAATTCTGGTTTAATAAATACTTGTTTCATAAACACTTGAAATCTAAACAAAAGCCAGAGAATTTTGCTATTATGAAATTTTATAGTTTTGATTGGCAGTATAAATATTTAATGGTTTAAATAAAAATATGATGCAGGTTTATGAGGTAGAATGTGTTTCCCATTATTAATACAAATAGCGTCTCAGCGCTCAGTAATAGAACAAACTATAATGTCCAAAATAAAAGTAAATAATAAATAATAGGTGTATTAGATCATTTCTGCAAGCAGCATGTTAAATATTGGATGTTAAATGTGATTTTCTCCATAATCCTGAGATGTAAAACATAAAAATCTAACGTTGGGGAGAGTAAAATCTATATTTATCTCATTTAATTAAAAAAGTTATGAAAAAAATCAAATAAATATTAATCAGAATGATTCTTCTTCTTCTTCTTCTTCTTCTTCTTCTTCTTCTTCTTCTTCTTCTTCTTCTTCTTCTTCTTCTTCTTCTTCTGCCCACTAGATGACGCTGTAGGTTTTTAAAGACATGCATTATAAATTACATTTATGCAAAGTGCTAATAAGTAATTCGGAGTTTTATGCGATCACAATTGTGTGTAATCCTCATAAAATAGTTAATAAACGTATATATTTAGAAAATAAATAATATTCAAACAAGAGGAAAAAGTTTCAGTTTCTACAAAATTATGTTGTAACGAGATTTATAAAGTAAATATATGTCATATGTTACTATTTAATAATAAAAATAAATAGCAAAACTTGCATGTAAATGTTATTTTTAGATGAAAACGGTACTTTTAGATGCTATTTTAAATTAATTACATTTATTTTTTTCTGTCTGATTTTTGTCCATTATCCAGCCGGTGGTGAATTGTTCTGGTTTCAGGGCGTGTGGAAAGTTGACCCGGTCCAAACAGAGTCACCCTCACTTCCTGCAGGTCTTTCCAGGTCCGTGGCGTGGAAACCTGTTCCAGGACCGTCCGCGGTGTTCCTGAGTGGGTGGGCGGGTTTTCTCCGCTCCTCTCTGGGGGCGGAGCGGCCGACTCCTCCCGGAGGGTCGGGCAGGCGGACGGGCGGGACGTCCTTCTCCCTCACACTTAGCAGACTTTACCGGAGCAAATAAGTTTGCAAAGTGCGACAAGAGTTTCTTCCTTAGAGGGAAAACTCCGGACAAACGCTCCTAACCTGCGGAAAGGAGGATCCAGACACAGACTCGACCCTGGTGAGTAGCAGCGTCGCAGCGAGAGGGGCAGAAAATTAACTTTTAACTCGGATTATGACAGATTATTAACCTGCTGCAGGCTGGAGAAAAGTGATGAAGCGGAACTTTCTCCACCTGTTGCTCCGAGCATCTAAACTCCTCCAAACCAGTCCAGCGTGTTCCCACTGAAACCAGTAGCCTGCAGCGAGACTCCCAGTTAAATAAGGCTCGGGTCTGCAGCTATTGTGTTGGGATTTTTTTTTAAGTAGTGTTTACTGTTGCTGCTGTACCCACACAACCTGACGCTCTGATTCACGTTACGTAACTTTTCCGTATTTTCCCACAGTGTAAATCTTGGCGTTGCTTCACTTTTTCTCCCTCCGCTCTGATCCGCGGTGACCTTTAGGGTGGAAATCACTTTGAGTTTCAGAAGATACTAGAAAAACATGGGGTGTGAAATGTTGAGTATCCCGTTTGGTGTGTTCTGTTTCCTTGTTGTGTTTTGGTCAAGATGACTTTTTCTCTTTCCATTCATCACTTTAAGGAGGCTGGATTATCATTTTGTCTCCACAGAGGTGCAAAGGTGAAACCGCTCAACCCAAAAAGCAGGAATAAATTAAGATATTTGCAGACATACCAGAGCCTGCAAAGGTCTTCATGCACTTTCCACGTACTTTAACTTTAATACAGACCAACAAAAAGTAGAGCAGAAATCTGAGGTTGAAGGAAAATGATTGTTCAGTTTTAAAACCTTCCAGATTTGAACAAAATCTAAAAGTTTCGCTATTATTCAACGCAGCTTCAAGTCATTTGGAAAAGTCTCTTGAGATTGAAAATTTGTGGACATAAATTTTCAAACCTTAAAAGGCAACTGGATTAAGGCCTGGCCTTTGACTAGACCATTCTGGACTTGATTCTAACCATCTCAGCGTAGCTCTGGTTTGATGTTTGTTTTGGTCTGACTGCAATAATCCATACAACTGGATATTTTTTGTGCTGAAATATAAAACAAATGCAGATACTCTGCATGACTATGTTTGCCACTGAGTTAATGAGCTGCAGCCCATCAGAGGAGCCTGGTTTACACTTTAAAAAAGCAATGTTTGTTTTTTCAAAAGGTTTTTCCGTCACTTCATGAGCGACGTTTCTTCCTCTTTTAGTTTTAGTTTTCTCCTTCATAACTTCGACTCTCACCTTTGCAGTATAACAACATATTTAGTGAAAAAGCACAAAAATGAGGGCACAGTACACAAATATTCACTCAAGTAAAAGCAGCAGTACTTCAACTTATTTTTACTGTAGTAAAAGTAAAAAGTAGAAGAAGAAATTACTCAAATAAGAGTAAAAAGTATTTTGGTAAAAAAAACTGCTCAAAACATCAATCATTTAATATTTAAAAATTACATAATCAGACTCAACAAAAAATATAGAAATGTTTGTATTTTAAAGATCAAAATGAACATAATTAATATAGATATTAACAAAATCAAGGAAAAGAAACATTTTTCCAAATCAGTTTATTTTAATATAGATCTTATGAAACTAACAAGAGCCACAGTTTTGTGTCTGGTGATTTATTTTTTATTTTTAGTTAAAATGAACTTGTTCTTCATTCAGTGCGGTTACTCTCAGTGGGTCAAGTATCCAGAAATATTACTCAAGTAAAAGTAACACTTCATAATTAAATTACTCAAGTAAACACAAAAAGTACATAGTAGTAAAAATACTCCTAAAAGTTACTCAGTTCCTACCCAACTCCATATCTGAGTTGGTTGCACAGGATTTTATTAAAGGGTATTTGAGTAAAGGGACCAAAATACATATTCATGTCACACTTATTTCACATAAAATCCTAATGATTTAAATAATTTAGTGGTTTTTATGTGTCAAAATGTGGAAAAGTTCAGGTTACGGTTTCGTCTGTAGAGTGCAGGTCAGTGAAGGCAGCACCGCCGTGACTCAGTGATGTTTCTTCTTCTGGAGGACAAACACAACGAGAGGGAAATGTCTTGCACATTTAGCTGAACCTTTGCGTATCAAGCAGTGGTAACAGCAAACATGAACGGCTCCTTTGTGTCGCCTTAATCTGTCCTTGACTGCTGTCCTGCTCAGGACACCTTTTTCTTTCTCCTCGCTCCTGTTTTTTCTAAAGTGTTTGACGCAGAAATTTTCCAGCTAAGTGAAGCTAAAGTCACTCACTGGCTTATGGAGATGTAATGAAAATGAATCTTGGTTGTGTTGCGTGTTTTATGGCTGCTAACAGAAGAAAATTTACAGCTTTATGAGCTGAATGTCAGCCTGGAATGAAAAACATGAAGCGGTCTTATTTTCAGTGGGTGTGCCTCTTATAAAGGAATCTATCTCACGAAGCAGCAGGGTTGTGGTGTCCTTCCAGCTTCCGGCTTCACATTCAACATCTTTCTTTATTGGAAGCGCTCTGCCAGATAACATGACTGTGCTGAAATGATTTGGTTGATGGAGGAGACGGGACTCATTTGACATTTGATTAAACAAAACAACTCATGTCCATTTATATTACTGCGAAAACACAGACTCAAGGATTTCTGGTCTAGTTTCTAGTACAAATATCTTACTAAGGTTGGACAATACATCAATAACAATATATCGATGGATAACACGTCTGATGGCATATTACTGAACTCTGATCCAGAATTGCACTGCATTATGGGGGATATAGGCAGAGGAAAGACTTCACGTCACAAAAACACAAAACCTTACCAAGTATTTTTGGTCTAGTTTCTGGTACAAATATCTTAGTACACTTTAAATAAGACAAAACTAACTTATAAGTAACTCTTAAGCAAGAAATAAAAGCTTGTTTTATGCCAATATTTTATTAATATTGATAAAAATGTGTTAGCTATTACTAAATAATCGCTCTTTCATCAATATTGAGGAATTATTGACTTAAAGGAGCTTTTATTTCTTGCTGAAAAGTTAGTTTTTTTTAGTTTTTTTCTTATTTAAAGTATACTGACATATTTATACTAACAACTTGACCAAAAATATTCTGTAATCTTTGTGTTTTTGCAGTATAGGCGCTCAACTTCTAAGCTAAGAAAACTTGGTGGAATTAACTCACTCGCTCACTTTTTGGTTGCCTAGCAACTAACTCACTCACTCACTCTTATGTTGCCTAGCAACGCCCTGTTGAGTTTCTTGGCAGCAGCAGTTTAAAGTTTCACCACTGAGCCTCATAGCTGCTTAAAAATAAAAAACATTGTGCAGTGAAAAGGTCACGCCACCAGTTTGGCACCATCAAAGATATTTTAAGCACAAAAACTAATCAATAATTATCGATATGAAGCCGTTATATCATGATATATTTTTTTCAGCCATATTGTCCATCCCTAGTAAGATGAAATAAGACAAAACCATCTTAAAAGAAACTTTCCTGCAGGATATAGGAGCTTGTTTTAACTAAGTAATTCCTTAATTGTGATAGTAGAAATGGTATGTTTGAAGGAATTAAGTAATTATTAACTTAAAACAAATTCTTGTATCTTCCTTGAAAGTTACTTGCAAGTCAAATTTGTCAAATTTGTTTTATTTAAAGTGTATCAAGACATTTGCACTAGAAATTAGACCATCAGTACTTGGTAGCGTTTTGTATTTTTGCAGTGTTTCCAGCTCAGATCGGTATTTAGAGCACATTTTGTCCGGCCGTCCTCCTCCTCCATAAGCCTGCTTCTTCTACTGCATCACTTCCGAGTTGTTTTGTCCTGATTTATCTCCTGCTGATGCTCCATATCCTGCCTTGGCCTTTGTTCTCGGCCTTATCAGCGTCCTTCCTCTGGGCTCATCTCGTTCTGTCCTCACATTGTAACATCAGGTAGAACGGGCCGCTGACAGCAGGGCAAACAGGAATCTGCTCAAGCCCCAATGTCTGCTGAAACACATGGTGCCTCTAATGGTTTCCCAGGGAAAGTAAGCTTGAGCTGCTTACTTTGATATTTGTAAACAGTAGTATTTTTGTTGCCAGCTGAGCTGCTTTTTCCCCCTCCACCATCTGACTGCAAATCTGTCAGGAAACAAGTGTTAATTTTGAATGTTGAGCTTTCAACATTTTTTTGCTGTTTTTGTTTCCTTGCACCACTATTTTACTTTTCTACTTTGGCTCCTTAAAGTGTGTAAAATGGACGTTTGTGGTGCAGTGGGGAGAAAAGTCGTTTTGCAGTCCAAAAGTTGAGTTTGATTCCAGCTTGAAAGACTTAAAAACAGGGATTATGATGAATCATTTCAAAATGTAAAGTCACATTTTGACCTGAAAAACAAGTTTGTGGAAGACAAAGATAAAGGTGCAGTTTGCACACCCATAAAATAAATGCTTTGTTTTATTTAATTTCACCATAATGTCTTTAATTTCACCATAATGTCTTTAAAAAATACACCGATAAATAAGGTGCAGTTTTCCTGACCTCTGTCTCTTTGCATATTTTGGTTGAAGCCACAGCTTTCAGAAAATTACATAACCATTCACAAATGCGTGAGTCAGAAAAAAGGAGAAAAATGCACAACAATAATCATCCATAATTACCAGGAAGCAACTAAATCCTGACTTCAGTAACTGAGATTCAACTTTCTGTGGTGGAAGTTGATCAGCATCCCATCCACTTCTTGTATTTTCAATATTCTCCAAATCTATCAGATTGTGGGAAAATGTTTTGTCCACAACCCTCTTTAGGTGATTCTACACATTTTCTGACAAACTTGGAGATCTGGACTCTCCAGTTCAAAACTGTCATTTCTTTTGTTTCTTTTGAGATGTGCTTGGACTCCATGAGATCCAGATTATTTCACTCATAACAAGACAATTTCCCATGTTATAAGTAAAATAAAAGAAACTTTTTCATCAATAGTAAATAATTACTGACTTAAAACAAGCTTCTATATCTTGAAACTTATGAATAAGTTAATTTTGTCTTATTTCAAGTATACCATGATATTTGCTCTGGAAACTGTTGTCGAACAGACATTGGAGATAAATAATAAAAATAACAATCCTGTTAATACCGACAGTTTTCTTAAACATCAGGATTATTATTATTATTATTATTGTGACAACGATGAACTAAAATCTTACCATGATAAGAAATGTATCACGATAAACGATACGATAAATTCCCATCCGTAATTTGAGGTATTTCAGTACTGAGAGGTGTGAACTGAAGAAGACTGAATGCTGAAACTAAATCAGATGCTTCATCAAAGTCAGATAAAGATTTAGAAACTTTTGAAACAGTTTCATATAGTCTCAGAAACATTTCAACAGGGGTGTGCACACAAACGCCCTCAGTGCTGTAGAAATCTGGGCTTATACTCTAACATAGCTGACTCATTTTTAAGTGTTATTTCTCAGACACGGATCAGTTTTTATTATAACACGCAGGTGTGTGGTAATAATTGTTGTGTGTAACTGACCTGCGTCACGTCTTCAGGGCGGTTGTGGGTTCAGAGAGGTTTACCTGCAACAGAGGGAGATTTTTGTCTCCTGAATCATTTAACCTTAACTGGAAAGTCTCACCGAAAACGTCTCCTTGAAGATGGAAAAACAAACATCTAAGAATGCAAAACAATGCAAGAGAATGAAAGTGGAAGAGATAAGGTGTTTGAATTATGCAGGCTGATCTCTGACTAATCCAGCCGGTCTGATTCTTTGCTCTCATAGGTGGGCCACCTGATCCAGGGAGAGGGATTTATTTTCCTTCTACATTCCTGATGGAGTCCTACAGAGCGACTGGCATTCCTAACAGCGGGTCGCAGCGCGGATACACGCAGCCATCCCGTCATTCCAGGGCCAGTAGTAATGGAGCTGGCTCTTATGGCCTCAGTATTCGTGTCCAGGGTATAGATGGACACCCCTACGTGGTGCTGAACAACCAGGACAGCGGTCACCACCCTGACAGCAACGGCTACCCGGACACAGAAGGCTCTTTTATTGAGAATTACCAGGAGTATGATTTCAGAAGGAATAAGGAAGCTGGATCCAGCGACCCCTTCATGGAGTACAGGACAAGGCATAACTCCGGGCCTCAGAATGGGCTTCCTGAACCTCAGGCAAAGAAACCGTCCACGCTTCTGAACTTTCAGAGGCACCCCGAGCTCCTGCAGCCCTACGATCCCCGGACCAACTCCCTAAACCTCGAAGGCTTCCACAGCCTCCCGTCCAGGCCTGAGCCTCAAGCCGACACCAGGATAGAATACCAGAACCCCTATCCCAAATCTGAAGTACAAAAAGACCTGAAACCCTCCCATTTCCGGTCATCAAGCCTTGATCGTCTCCTTGACCGCACACAGCAGGAGAACAGGCAGCCTCCTCAAACGGACCTCAACACCCCCAAAACGAAGTCTCCGTCATTACCTCCAGCCCAGGTGCCTCAGCATCAAAGCAAAGCACCGGCCCAGCCATCCCAGCCGATCCAGCCGGCTCAGCCTCAGATTAAACCATACCTCACCAGTCTGAATCCATCTCAGCCCAAGCCGACCTCTAAAACTCCCCCAGTACCGGCAGCGCAGCCTCAGCCACCCCCTGTGTCCAGTTCACCAAGCAACCAGAGGAAAGCGTCTCCTACTTCCACTCGTAGCGCCAACTCCAGTCTGGAGCGCACCCACCACGACCCTGACGTCCTTCCCCTACGCCGGACCGACTCCGGCGAGCCCGTTCAGTCCTCCTCCCGGTCCCGCCACTCCTCCTTATCATCCACCAGTAAGTCGCTGATAGACGAGCAGATGGAGGCTCTTTACACGGACGCCATAAACCGCCACGAGAATCGCCGCTACATCCCCTTCCAGCCCGGTTCAGGCAGAGACATAGACACAGGGTCCATCCCTGCCGTTGATGAGCTAATTGATAAGTTTGATGGCAAAGATGGCGGAAATCAGCGAAGGGGCAGGGCGGGGCGCAGAAACAGGATCAACCCGGAGGACAGGAAGCGGTCGCGCAGCGCGGACAGCGCCTTTGGGTCGAGGTCTGACTCCAGCTTCATGGACGAGTTCGGTCCATCCCGAGGCACGTCAAAGGAGCACGTCCTACGGCCGTCGCAGCTGCGGCTGCAGAGGACGGCGAGCGGTCAGGACCCCTGGTCTACGGCTGTGGACGGGCCTTCATCCCAGGCCACTAGTGCCCCAGGATCCCCCCAGAGCTCAGTCTCCAAATACATTGGCTCCCTACGGGGTTGCACAAAGCTGCAGTCACGCCCCGCCATACCGCCCTTCAAGAGCAGTGAAGAAACTCCTTCTGTCAGAAAAGTCTCAACAACGTCCCTGTCCAAACTCCCGCCCACCGCTGACAGCAAGACCAGCACCGGGGCAGACGTCCAGGTGAAACTCCACAACCCTACATGTAACGGCACATTAGGATGAGAAATTTTAATTCTAAATTTCTGCCAAAAAATCTCAGAAATTTTATAGAAAAGAACCCAGAAAATTCTGAGTTTGAAAAGTTGAAAATTTGCTAAAAAAAAATCTTAGATATTCTAGAAAAAAAAGGAATTTTTTGAGTTTCAAATAAAATATTTTCGACTTTCCAAACTCTGAAAATTCCCAAAAGTCAAAAAATGTTGACTTTTGAAACTGAAAAATTTCAAAGTTGTTTTTTTTTCGCAAAAATTTCAGAGATTAAGCTCAATATTTCAGTTTTTTTTTCTAGCAAATTTTCAACTTTTCAAACTACATTTCCATGTTTCTACTTGAGATTATTTGGTGAAATTTGGTAAGAATGTACTCATCCCTTCCTGCAGTGGCCCTATTACGCCGCTGTTGTAATAACACATGTGGTTTAACTTATTTAACTCTGACCTCGTGGGTTTTATTAAGCTGCTCTTGTCTTTCCCTCCACATCCAGGCCACGCCTGATCTCCTGAAAGGTCAGCAGGAGCTTTCACAACAAACACACGAGGAGACAGCCAAACAGATTTTGTTCAGCTACCTCAAAGAAGGGTGAGTTTACTAGACTTAACTTTTAGCATTTATGTTCATAAAAAGTCACCTGATGTAACCAACATATTTTGAATGATTGGTAAGTAGTTATAGTGTGAATGTGCTAATTTCTCTCTCCCATTGTGATTATTATGAATTGAAGGATTTGTTTAGATGCAAATCATCATCTGGCACAGATTTCTCTTTAATAAAATGCTTGAATGGGACCTATTATACAAAACAAACACTTCACACATTTTTATACGTTCTCTTGGATCTCATCTGCTTCTAAAAACCGCCTCAGGGCTTTAAGTTAATGTTTTTTGGCATCTTGAAATCAAGCTGTTTCACAAACTTCCAGATTAAGTCACATTCCAGGGGCACTGCGCTGTTACCTAGCAACCAAGCGAAACTCCAACACATTTGGACAGCTGGTTTTACTGCTGCTTTGAAAGACAAGTAATATTTCCATTCAGATGATAGGGTTAAGTAACACTATTTTAAAACTACACTAGCTAAGCTGTGCTTAGCGGTGGCTACAGCTAGCTGGGCCTGCTAATCTGCTAGCATCTGCTTGGTAGACAAGAATAAGTGCTTACTCCAAAATTTAATATGTCAGAATCACAATAGCACTTATCAGTAGAAAGTTAAACAATATAACAGCTGCAATAACCAATGTGCAACATTATTTTTGCCACAGTAGGAATAAATGTTGCTTTTATGTGTTAGTTTAGTCGTGAACTTTATTACTTTATGAAAACATTTGTTACTTTTTGATCAAGTATTGACTGGAATAGTGAAGTTGAGAATCAAAATATAGTTTTTACTGAAGCACAAAACTGAAGTGGACACAGCAACATTGCGGAGAAGGGAGTACAAGATGGGAATGTTAGTCTGGCATGTCAACAATGCTAGCGTGTGCTGTTTAATGAATATCTAACCAGCTGATCCTATCTGTGTTGAAATCCAAATCATTTTTTCCCCGGCGCCTGAAAAAGGAAAAAAAAAAAAAACAAGAGAAACTTTTCTCAGCATTCCCTGCTGCCCTTGCAGCTTTTGTTCTTTGTTTGACGCATGCTTGACTGACGGCCCAAAGGCAGCCAGAGGAAATTGAATTATAACATTTCTGACACAACCAAGAAGCCAGTCTTGAGTTTTCTATCAAAAATCACAAACATGTGGAGTATTTTAACCTGACTCTGACATTTGTACAGTAAAATAGCTTTTGGAAAGACTTGTTGCATTTCTGTGCAGTACAGTTCCTCCATTCGCTGCAGGCTTTGAATATTGCAGAAAGCTCAGGAAACTGCTTGGGTGTGTCGGAGCGCAGGTCAGCAGTCGCAGGACAAAGGGAAGGAAAGGAAACACAGATGTAAGTTCAGGCGCTGAAACTGAGCTACATTCCCCAGGCTCCGAAGACAAACACCCACCAACAGGGGTTATAGCGCTCTAATGAAAATCATCTGTCAGAGCAGAGAGCAGAGGATGGTGATGGGGGATTTGGGTTTTCTCTTTCACATTTTAATAACAAAAAGATTGATTGTTGCTGTCGGTTGGAGTTACGAAACTTTGGTTTTGCTGAGTCAAAAGCTGGATGATTAAATGTTCCTCGGAGTCAAGAAAACTCCCACATTTTTGTTTTTTCGTGGCAAAACTCTACAAAATCTTTAAACTTTATCTTTCATCAGTTTTTACCTGAAGGGAAGCTGATACTGAGGAAAGCAAATCTACATATGTTGTTTACACTATTAGGGAAATTATTAGCAGTTTCAATTCCCACATTGAACAAAAAAAGAGAGATATTTATGTTTTAGTGTCGTAATGAAGCTGTTTGTTCTGTGAAGTGACACATCGGAGCATCATAAAACCTTCCTGACTCCTGCTAAGTCGGGACGGAACTGCTTTGTTCCCCAAACAGCCTGCAGTCGTGATTCACCTCAAAAACACACAGAAATGTTTTCATTCATTCAAACGTTTCACCTTTTTCCTCACGCAGAAGCAACGATAATGACGACGTGACGAATAAGAAGGTGAACTTGGTTTTTGAGAAGATACAGACGCTGAAGTCCAGGGCCACAGCCGGCGCACAAGGCGACAGCAAAGTGAGTCTCCTGTTGCATTGTGGGTGTTTTTACACACAGCTGCAGTGTTCTTTATCGTGGCTTAAAGGCAGACATCTTTTTGCAAACTTAATAATAGTTTTGTCTCACTCTCCAAAATACACACAAATATAAACCTGCTCCTTTTTGAGCAAATACTGTAAAACTGCATGATGATTAGTTTTATTTTTTTGTCTATTTGAAATGAATAAATAACTGTGTGTAAAGGATAAATATCTGATTTGCTCTCGCAGTCGGTGGACCTGGCTGCACAGACCAAAGCTCTGCAGGAGCAAAACGCTGAACTGGAAAAAGAGATTCTTGAGCTGAAGAGACAGCTGGAGGAACAAATAAAGGTAACATGATGGCAACTGCAGCTGTAATGCTGATGCCTGTTTATGCTGACATATCCCTTTAATGCTGAACTAGTTGTTCTGGAATATCCTTTAAACATGGCTTTGCTCTCTGAAGAGCTTTAAGGGATAACAATTTAAGGATTTGTTTCAAGGCCTTTGTTTAGATCTAAAGTGTCAAACTTAATACAAAAAGCTAATTTTTCTGGAAAAAAGCAAAACAGCAGTGAAGCAGTTAGTTGGATTTTAATTTTCTGTCAAGCAAGGTCAGCTTTATAAAAGATAAAAAAATCTGTATTTTGATGTCAATATTTTAGTTGACACACATTTGTTTTTTTATTTTTCCTTAACCTTGTGTTTAAATCATTTGCATATTACATCAGTTTTATTTTTCAGCATTTTTCTCTGGATAGATCGTTACAGTAAAGTTTTTTACCTGCATTAATTATTAATTAACTCTGAGTGTGTCAATAAAATCAAATTTAAACCAGAAAAACTCATGAATGATATGAATAACAATAAAGTCTCCATTGTTATATGTCAGGTAAAGGGATAAATACATTATTTTTCATTTGGAGTTTAATTTTAACTAAACTAAGGCCCCTCACTTCAGTATCGTCATATTTACCATAATATAGTCAGGCATTTGTCCTTGTAAAAGCATAAATAATATTGGTTTAATTTTAATTAATCTTCTTAGGTTGCACTTTGTACATATATTTTATACTTTAAAGAGAAAAGTGTTTCCATTTTACTTTGTGTTTATTAAAAAGAATCAAGCAGACAAGAAAAACAAGTTGT